AGTAGATTCACATCCTTGACCAACCCATGAAAACAGCTGTTTTGATGATTGTTGGATGGTCAGGGACTGTAGCTGGGCAATCTTCTTCTCTGAAACCTGTCTCTGCGGTGAGGGGTGGCTGGCTGTTCTGTAGGTGCTTAGTATGCTGACAAGTGAGTAGCATATGATCTCTGCTTAGTTTGTGACCTTCTGAACACTTCCTGCCTATAGGTGTGTAAATGCCCAAGGAACATAAGGTAGTCCTGCAGTCCTTGAAAGATTCTGATGGGCATCATCTATGGTCTCCTCAAAGATCTTGGGACCAAGTAACCAGGATGCCCTGTGCATAACTACTACTGTAGAAGTGGATCTAACCAGTAGTGTCCTTAATATCTAGGGACACTTGCAGAGCCATTTTGGCCAGCAGCTGGTCGTCTTTAAATAATTGACTAGAACTGTTCTCTGCAGTAACATGGCAGATATTTTATAAAGGCCATGAGCATGTTGTAATTCAGGGCTACTCAACTTTGGAAGCCACAGCAGCCACAATGATACTCACAGCACATGCGGAGGGTCACAACTTAAGTGTGGTTGCATATACATGCAAATATATATGCAAATAGCTTTTCACACTGAGGTGCATGAATATCAAAATTAAGGCAAGACTACACAACACACAGGCCCCATTTAAGTCAGTTCTGCTGATAATAAAATGCAGCATTTACTCAATTTCCATCCATGTCAGCTCTTTTAATGAGCAATGACAGTCCAGAAATTTAACTACTAAAACGCATATCAACAGAAGACCATTATATTGTCTCCTTTTTTGTCTTAGCTCCCACCCGTGGGCTGCGAACAGGCCGCAGGTGGCCTGCAGGCCATGTGTTGAGTAGCCTTGTTATAATTGGTAAAGCTCTATTTGGCCATGACTGCCTGATAAGTTTGCGATCCAAAACTGAAGGATTCCAGATGAGTAAGACTTGGTCCCAAAAGATTCAATTGCTTGTGGTACTTGTTGTAGGAGTTAGTTCTCATAAAATATTACTTACCCCATTCATTCACAGGTGGGGAATGGGAAAATAAAAAGTCACAACCCTTGGGATGCGACATGGTATTTCTTGTTTTCTGTTTTGCATGTTGGCAATAGCAGTTGGCATCTTCCATACTGTCTTAGCCAGATAACTGGAGAGCCTCATTAATAGGCAGCACCAGGCTGGAGTATATTGCCAACTGCAAAATATCAAGGTGCTTGTGCTGAAGAGCTTTGGCCTCCTCCAGAAAGATCTGTAGAGCATCAATTACCATAATGTCTGGAATTGTCTGAAGTTGTCAGCAATAGAATAAGAGGGAAAGTACAAACACTTCAACCTAGGCCAACAATAAAATGAGAATCTTGGGATGACTCATCTGTCCCAGGCTCCAGCTCTTCAAACATTTCCTATTGCAATGAAAGGATAGAGGGGTGGATGGGAAACCGTGGTCTCCTTAAGAGATGGTACCAGTGGTCTCTGAATTGTTGCCAATAGACAACCTAAGGTTCTCAATAGGAACATTCTGGGAAGTCCACGTATGAGGTGTGGTATAGAATTTTCC